AAGTAAAAACTTTCTTTACAAGTAGTTAAAACTCTGACTGGACTTTTCCTTACTCTTTGATATCCCTTGCCTACCATCCTGGCACTAGGTTTTCTCTTTCTTGGTCACAGAGCAGATAGTCAACTTTCCTCAGTGGATTCTTCTCTTGTATTCACTATTGTGACTGCTCCGTGGCACGATGAATAGAGCTCTGGGTCTGGAGTCAATAAAAACTGAGTTCAAATTCAAGCTCAGACATTTCCTAAATGAGTGACCTTGGGCAATTCTGCTTCTCTCAGTTTCCTCAACTGGGGATAATAATAGCAACTACATCCCAGGGTTGTTATGAGGAGCAAATGAGATAATATACAAATGCCAGCTATTATTATTATTGTTATTATTTCAAGATCTCCCAAATAATAAATGGCAGAGCCTGGATTTGAACCCAGGTCCTCACTCTCATACATACATACATATATACATATATATATATACTCTTTTCCACTTAACTTCCTGACATCTGATCACATTCTTCTGTGATAGATTTGATGTCTCTTTATTGCTCCTTTCTTCCTCAATTTACATTTCTTGAAAATGTCTTAAATTTTTCACTTCAAATTCTTCTATCTACCCTAGGTCAAAGATCCCAGGGTAGAATCTACAGATGGAAGGTATTTTGGGGGTACTGGCACATTTGTTATGTAGTCATCTTTCTGCATGGTAAACAATTCTCACTTACTATAGAATACTTTCATGTCTAATACCTAATAAATGTCATGATTGCTCATGCTGCATTAGTTGAATTTACTCTAAAAACATAAATCATCTTGGGTAGGGAGACTTTCCCTCCACACACTGGCAATACTGAAACAATCTTTACCTCATCCACCTTCTTGTATAACCAAATGCATCATGGTATGATTGGGAAAGTCATTTCTAAAACCCTCTAGAATGGGAGTAAAGAGAACTAAACTGCTCTGCACTTATGTTTCCTGATTGGAAACATAAACTGGTTGGAAGAAATGTTCTCTGGAGTCCTTTCTAACTTTAAGCTATTTTACAGTGTTCCTCCTTTTCTTCCTTTAAAAAATATCTATTTTACATAGTTGGTTTACCAATCAACTACATTTTTACATATATTTTTATATACCTTACTTACGTACTCAATTCTTCTAGTTTCACCTGTATCTACAAATGCTCTTCAAACGATCTTGTAAATGTTTTCCTGACATTTTTTTAACTGATTTGTAATATTATTGATAATCTTCCCTTCCCCCATAATATTTTGCAGATAGTTTATACACTTATGTGTATTTATCCTTGGCAAAAGCTGCGTCAAGGTGAGACAGTTAATTGTTCCTTCACAAAATGATGTTATTTGTTGAACTTGAGGGTATATAATAAAACCAACTCATTCTTTCACAACTCTGAGACCTTGTGACCAATCCTTCCATTTCACTGCAGTATCTTTATGCCTTTTGATTTCATTTATTGTGACATGGTCTTTATAAATGTAGTTTAGTTGGACCAGCAGAATGCCAACTGTCGTTAGATATAGATAGCTCATATTCAGAGTTAATCTGATGTTTGTAGGTGGTCTAAAATGTTATGATTTGTAGTTCTCTAAAGTTCTTTTCCCCATACCACTCCAATACTCACATTATGAAAGAGGAAGGGACCACACGGGATTGAACATCATTTTCTATTGTAATTTTTTTCATGGATTACCTAAGTTAAAGACTTCATAACCTCGTGGACAACCTGTAGGTGATGAACCTCTCTGAATTTAAATTGTCTGGTTCTCATACAGGAGTCTCAGTTTATTACCAAGCATGTTCTTAGTCTTTCCAGCTTGGTAGAAGCTGACAAAACTAGTATTCAGCTGCCAAATTTTTTAAACTCAGGCTAACCATACTGCAAAGCAGGGCTTTGTGGAATGGAAATTTTTTTTTTCATCTCACCGAAGGCTTTTTTCTGACATGACACACAAAAAAGTTAAGAACCCCTGTTCTAAAAAAAAACAGAGGAAAGATGCTTCTTTATGCTTTAGAAATATTAATGAAGTTCATTTGAACCCATTAATTGTGAAAAAATGTTTAATATGCTTCTGGCAAAATAAAGTTAGCTCTAATCTGATGTATGTGTGGGCATTATGCGAATAGCACTATGAAACCTGGCCCAGGAAAATTCCAAGGCTAAGTCTGAGATATATTAAAAAACAAAAACAAAAACATTGAGCGCTCTTGTATCCCTTCTGGAACATGCGAGCTTGAGCCAAATTTTCTCCTCTGCTAAAAGCATGTGACTCATATTGATATCTTGGTTCTGAGTCTACATATATCTAGAATTTAGTTCAAAGAAGTTGAGAGGGAGAGGAGAATAGGGAAATAGAGTAAAAAGGTTTATCTGATTAGAGATTCATTTGGGGAATTACTGTTTCAGTAGTTTGGGAAACTACCTTGCAGAGATTTGATGGGGGAAATATTCTTGGTAGGCAGTTCTTTGAATCCTTCTCAAGGAATGATGAAGATGAAATAAAAGAGTTTATTAAGCTTAATATTCTTTAGTAAACAGTTACTATTCAGTTTCACAGAAATAGAGGTATAAGGTTTTCACACTGGCCCAAGAGCATGAACAGTATGGGAATTGTGAAAGTATATATAAAATTGGGGAAAAATAAAATATTAAACTTTTAAAAAGCGTAATAGACACTGCCTATGTATACTGCAACAGCAAAGCATAAAACAATATTTTGAGTTTGGTTAAGCATGAATTAATGCAATTTATTCATGATTTTAGGATAATTTTTAAATTATATAAATCATTTAATGTATTCTTGTAAGCCCCCTACTAGACCATAAACTCCAAAGAGGGCAGGAATAATAAGCTATCTAGTGTTTTCTTCCTGGTTTCCTCAGTCTTCTAACACTCCATCTCCTAACTCAGTGCTGAATGTATGATAGGCATATAATGTGTGATTGTTCAGCTGTGTCATTGTGACATCAGAAAACAGAAGGAATTCATAATATAGCAAGAAACACATACTTTTCTAGAGAGGCATAGAATGTAGAACAAAACAAATGACCCTAAATCATAATGTGATTTATTTAAAGTTGACAGAGAGAATTGATAGGATCATCTATCTAGAACTTAAAGGGATCTTACAGGCTATTTTATTCCCTTATTTTATAGATGAGGAATTAAGGCCTAGATAAGTTAAGTTACTTGTTTTGATAAATTATGTTGCTTCAGTATGCCAATGTTGTGTTACTTTAGATCATATTGATATATTAATGTGTCACATTAGTCTTATACCTATTTTATGTAATTAACATATTTTTTCAGGAAGTACAGTTCAACATTAAAAACTGATCATAAATGGTTGTTTTAAATTACACTAAACAGAAGCAAATGTGAAACCAGATTTGACTTTGAGAAAAAGAACTTTTCTCTCTTGTATTTTTTTTTTTTTTACTATATTCCAATTACGTTTTTGTATTGGACCCACGTATCAAATTCTCTCTTTTGGAGGGAAACATCTGTTTTCTCTTTTCAAGATAGTCTCATACTTTTAGCCTGATCTTCTGAGAAATTAATTTAGATTCTTGCTATATATTTATAGGAATCTGTTTTAGCTATTAAAAACAAGAGGTCAAAATATTCATATCTCTGTCAAGTCAGTGCGTTTCCCTCAGTGCAACAAAAGTTAATTAAATGACTGTGCAAATCAATATTGCATAGTATAAAGAACTGTTCTAGGAGTCAGAAAAACTAGGTTCACATACTGCCTCTGAGACCTACTAGCTGTGTGACCCTGGTCAAGTCACTTAATCTTTCAGGGGCCATGGCAGTAAAGGTTACCATTTGCATATGTAAGGGTAAGTTTCCTCTTTGGGAGAATCCTACACCTATAAAATCACAGGTCTGAGTAAAAGAACATAAACAAAACCAAAAAAGTGTGCAAGGTACAAAAAAAGACAGACCTTGCTATCAAGGAGTTTACAATTTAGTAGTGGTGCTGGGAAGGAGAGCATAAAGCTATGTACACAAGTGCTGTGTATAATATGATGAGAATACAGGCGAGGTCAAACTGAAGGAGGGGGTGACAATCAGAAAAAGTGGAGATTTCAACAAAGTAATTTTTTAAAACATAGGATCAGAGATTGTGTGAAATTCTGCTGGATTCAAATGCCGAAAAAGGAATGTTCCTTAGCGCCTATAGAATGTGTGCGGTGAACAGAAATGTCCCCCCTTTCCCGGCAGGATTCCGGGATCACCCAGCAGGGGGCAGCGCCAACTTGCTTTGCTCCCGGCGCCAGGCAGGCAGCTCAGCGCTTCTCAAAGCAACAAGAACTGTATCCCCACATGCCCCAAGGTCACACTGCTCCTAACAGCTCTACAGCCCCAGGGTCACGGAAATAATGCATCTACCCTCCCGGCAGTGGGACCCCGGACTGACAGAAATAGTAGGTCTTGGCCAAAAGGCTTCTAGACGCAGGATGATGTCAAAATGGGGATCTAAATGGGGAAAAATAAAGGATAGGGGTGTACCGGGTCTGGAGCAGAAACAGCCACCGCAGGGAGGGGGATGGGGTGCATGCATGTAGACGCTTTCCTGCTATCCTCCCCGGCCGTCTCTGCAGCAGAGCTTCGGGTGCTTGAGGCTGGGCCGGGGGAATCCTGGCCCTATTCTCACCACGCTTAACCCGGACCTGCTGCTCTTGTGCATGGGAGATGTCAGCGCACCGAAGGAACTAGGGAGCCGGCCAGCAAGGAGGTAGAGGAAGGGACGGGAGAGCGGGCATGAGATTATATAGGGGAGCTTTCCACGCCTTCCCTCTAGCCCGCCCCGACCAGGCTCAGCCCCCAGAGATAACATCCCAACTACTGCCCCCTCCCTCCCCTCCCCCAAGTCCAACCAGTGTCCCCTACCCCCCACCCCTTCAACCATCTCCTCCCTTTCTGCCCCCACCTCTCCGGTCGCAAAGGGACTTGGAGTTGGCGGGAGCCTATAAAAGCCCATCACAGAAAGAGCCGGGGACAGGCTTGCTGTAACCAGTGCAGAGGTGCAACCCAAGAGCTAATTACTAAACCCTGAACAGCTTGCAAGACCATGTCCCAACATCACTGGGGATATGAGCCGGGCTTAAACGGTGAGTGAAAGCGTTCGGGGAGAAGGGACGACTTCCTTCCCCCCTTCCCTCCCCTTCAACCGTCCTCTGCCCCAAATCCCCAGTTGCCCATCACGAGCCAGAGAGGATGGTGATGGCCTGGGCAGTGGCTCCTCTGCACTGCACCTCCTGTTTACTGCAACCTCAGCTTTGCAAGCTTGAGGCTCAGGTACGCATGGGGACCTCCCAGGCGCGCCCCGCTTCCCAAGCCTCCCTCCTGCCTCTGGTTCCCAGCTGAGGCACGAGACTGGTCCCCTAGTCACTATCACGTTTTCCTTTGGGTCGCTGGGCAACCGGGTGGGTACTGTCGAGGAATCAAATGATCCTGCTCGTTGCTCTTGGCAAGCAGGGGCAGGGAGGTAGGGACAAGGAGAGCTCCCTAAACCCGGCTTCTTCTTTTCCCCCTTTTCTCATGAGATAGAGGTGGATGGGTGAAAGTTCCTTTAGTGCATTTGAGAGCCCATATACTAATCTGAAGGAACGCTAGGCATTGTTTTCACACGGAGGCATAAGAGACAGCCGGCACGTCCTCCACGCTGTCTGTGACTCACAGATCTTTTCCCAAGGACTGTCCCATTCCTTCGTGTAGGAGGAGAGCTTCCTACTGGCTGGTTTATTTCCGTTATGGTGTGTTTCTGAGAGTTTTCCTTTCTTGTCTACCACCTTGTAATTTAAAGGTTCATTAGGGATCCAAATGTCTTTAGGTTTTCTGAAGCTTTGAAAGGGGAAGGAGGGAGAGTCTGGAGTGTAAAGGGGGCTAGGCAGTTTGTCTCCAGATCTATAAAGGAACCAAAACCGGACGTAACCGTGACATTTCATTCATAATCGAGAGAGAGAGAGAGAGAGAGAGAGAGAGAGAGAGAGAGAGAGAGAG